GATACCGACGCATTAAATACAATAGTATAATACAATAAGTAACAAAAAACACAATATTACCCAATAATAGAATATTGGGCAAGAGATCATGACCAGGCAACATAAAAAATGTGATGGTGATGGTCACAATTAACACAACATTATCACAAATGAAACTATTCAAGTGCCATGACTTCCTATCTGTAATTATTGTAAACCATATGTAAATATTTGTTTTGGTCATTACAATAATGACTTTATCAGAGAATTTAGATATTTAGAAATAAACATTTTGACATATTATAAGTCATTGAGCACTCATTTCAATTTCTAAATTTCTAGCAAGTACCAGAACATATTTAGGATGCAACAATTGACTTTACATCACCAATAAAACCTGTGAAGTACTGCTAGAGAGATAAGTAGTGCATACCTCAGGCTTTCAATTGGACTCAACAGATTTAATCACTACAATGAAAGTAAAAACCTTAAACAATATTTTCTTTAACTGAAATAAAAATAAAAACTAGACTTTAGAAAAACAAACAAATAATATTTACAAAACTAACAATTAGAATAAAACATGAAATAAAAACATACAGGAAATGTCTTAAGTTTTAGTCTTTGTCGACTAAGGAGAGAATAAGACACTTTTAAACAATTCAAATTAAACTGAAACAAGCAAACCCACTCAGTGAATTGAAAACAAAAAGTAAAAACAAAATAAAAATAAATACAAAACTATAATCACTGTAACTGGGAGATAATTGCTGTGGTGTTTTTTTTAGAGGATTTGTTTCTAACAAATAATCTGTCAACAGAGGACGCATCCTGTCTGTATGTTGTCACAGGACTCAACAGAGGATTTAAATAGACTTTCTTACCTCACTGCTATTGGCTGCTGGAGGAGGACAGCCAACTGTCAATCAGCTCGCCGCACACATAGCCCCGCCCCCCGCACCTGCAGCCGGTTGTCCTGGAGATTCCCGCGGGACAGGCAGAGGCACAACCGAGCACGAGACAGAAGTGGGCTAACTGCCAGGTAGGCTAACTTTAAACCTTTCCTGCATGGTTTTCTTTTATAGCACTGATAGTACAGCATTAAAGAATGAAGTGTCCTCTAGTTCTGTATATCTAAGATATAATACCACCAACTGCTACAATCACTTTGTCATTAAGTCAGGTTTTTGAATTTGCAGCTAAAACGTTCATAATAAGTTAGCTAAAGTTAAGTTACTTGTCAAGCACAGTGCAAACAGCAGTTTTAGAGGTATTTATGTTAAAGTGTTGAGCTTATTATCCCTACTGCCCAGCAAACCTTTACTGGAGTCATGTAGACAGTCAGGGCAGGTTTAAAATAGGAAAATGTTGTAAATTGACAACGTGCCCAAAAGCGAGACACAGAAAGACAACCAGAGAGAGGTGGAGGTAATTCCTTAATTCTGTTTAAGCTTCAGTTTCTCCTTACTGCTGCTCCCTGTAGGAGTCTGTGCACACTGCCAGGTCCAACAAGACAGAGCTACTCTGCCCCGGGTCTATATACAGGGAAATTATTATTTGGAGACATTTGTAAATTTTCCTTAACACACACTCAGTTTATCCAACTGTATTGCATAAATATATGTTACAGATACTGTGCCAGAGTGTAGTTCTCTTAAGGACTGGGGTACTGTAGCTCTGGAGCAAGGGTCTGAGCCAGTGCATTAATTCCCTTTACACTTTAAATGACTATTTCTCAGTAAAGGACAAAGTTTTCCTTGCACGGCTTCCAGCTTTCATTATCTGGTCTTGACACTGGTTTGTAGTAACTGTTACACGTGTAACTGTGCTGCATTGCTGTCAAGTGAAGAACATTATCTCTAATCTGGTGATTCTTATGTTTTCAGATCAGTTGAAGGACTGAATTACTTCAGGGATTCATTGTTACCAAACCTAAAGTTGATTCTGAAAAGCTGAGATTTTGAAGGTACGTGATTTGCACTGTACAAAATCCCTTTCTCAAATTCACATTGTTACAACCAACTGGCCCCACATCCAAGATCACCACCTCCAGCCCTGCTATGTGACATATTTCTCTACGCTGGGGAAGGGTTGAATCCTCAGTCAAATAAGACATATGGACATCTATCTTCCTAAATGTCGTTGTTTTTTTTTTGGAAGAGATGCATTAATGTTAATTCTTTCAAAGAACATCTGTGCCCATGAACGTTTTCATTCAGATAAATATGAGTGTAGAGCTGTGTAAAATATTAACATGACGACATAAAGTTAATGCTTTTCAAACCACTTGGTAAAAGAATGTATGTAGGTGTTGAACACATGGTTTTCACACTGATCAGCCCACATGGTCGCTCTGTCTACAGTATAGCTGGCAAGCAGATGGCTTACACAGATTATCAGCCTCATGAGCAGATTAGCTCAGTTTACCCACTGCTTTACTGCCTGCTTACCTGACTGACAGGCTGATAGAAACTCTACTCAGCTTTTATTTTGTAGAAAATGAATTGGTTACTGACAGGCCAATTCATGTAGGAGATGATGTGACAGCTGACTGGATAAATAAAGACCTTGTTTGAGGGAGTTAGGGCAGAATAACCCCTCTCTTTCAGCGTGGATGGACTCGTTTGTTAAGATGACTTGGAGCAAAATGAAACCGAGACCCTTTTCTCCCAGCTGACCTGAGGCAGTGGGTCAATAACATGTTAGGGTACTGTGTGTTTAGCTGCTGGTCTTACATGCGAGTGGTTAAAATACCTGCAACATTCAACTATCCAGGCAAATACATTGCAGTAGAGAAGTATACACCAGCCACCTGGATGTTCACTCAAAGTTCTGCAAACGGTGACCTGGGAATAGAAGCAGTAGACGGGTATCTTTTTTTCTAAGAATACCCTCCTCCCCTATGACCCCCATATACATGTTTGAACCCCGCTATTACCTCTCCCGACACACATCTATATTAAACACACAGCCTCCTTGCCTGCATACCTACAGCTGAATCTGCTGGGTGAGAAATGAAGCAAAAGACTAAGTATTTCACATGCATCTTTATTTTGTAAGAAATAAAAGATCAACCTTGGAATTCCTGTGATACAGTTATAGTTCTGTGCCTGAGGCAGGGTGTTTTACAGTTGAACACATTTTTATGATGGTTTAAGTTTAACACTTAGTTAGTTGGGTATAGGGAAAAATCCACACAGGACATTATACAGCGGCTTTCACAGGCTGAGTGGTGCTCCCTCAAGATGCGTACGCTGACTTTCATGTGCAAAATTGATGGAGTGCCCCTTTAACAAAATGAGGATTTAAACTGGGCAATATCTGATCAAAGAATAAGTTAACAAGTTTAAGAATTGTAGAATTTGGTGCCAGTTTTCAGTGTACGTTTTCATATGCATTATCTTGCTGTATGAAAGTTAATACCAGAATGAATAATATACATCAGAATCACAGTGTGATTTAAAGAATGACCTTACATCATTAAATATATCTATTTTTAAGGTGTTTTATTGTTTACAGTAAGTTATCTAAAGCATAGCCGGCTGTCAAAACAACAACAACAAAAACAACATTTAAAACCACAACAAGGCAGATAAAGGGTACACGCTGTGGACAGCTGGACCAGCAGGACTCCCCCAGCAGACAGCCCACTGACCTGCTGGATAAAAATAAAAGATTTGACCCCATAGTATATAAAAAGCCAGAGTGCTGTAGTTCTGAATGGGAAGTCACAGATATATTCTATCTAGGTCCTGATATAGCGGCTGAATAAACATAAAAACACCATGTGATCACATTTACAGTATACTTAATATATACTGTAAACACAATACCACTCGATATATGATCACTTAAACATGTCAGTAGGAAGATTTAGGCTAAAACATGATACAGGGTTGCTTCCAAAATGATGAAAAGACTGATTGAGATTCTATATGGCAGACTGCCAGTCTGGGAGAGAAACACACACTTAGAGCAGCAGCTGTAGTTAAAGCAGAGTCTTGTAAATCAGGCAGTCCTGTCAGACAGTCGTCTCTTGATTTAATAGACTGACTGTGAGGACATGCTCAGAGGCAGCCTTAGCAACAGTTAGCAGTAAGAATAAGGGACCACCTCCGTTGTTGTTAGAAGCTCCTCCAGGTGTTGAGCTGGGAGCAGCAGTGACAGCCACAGCTGAGGGAAGATGGAGGAGGACAGAGCAGAGAGAGAAGACGATCAGTCAGAGTGGACAAAGGTGTGAGGCAGCATTTAGACGAGTATGAGATGCTGAAACTCACTGCATGATAGTGATCATTCTCTCCTGATATCCAGTGTCCAATAGATTTAAAGGTCATTTTTTGACACAGATTTGGACTTCATTTGGTGCTCCTTCTTCTCTGGGAGATTGTTGGATCCAAAGTGCACCCCAACACGGGACTGCTGCTCCATTTTAGATAGTATGCAAGAGCTAATGTTAGCACTAGCCAGTAGTCACACTGCTTGCTGCATCTGTGTATTCCAGAAGCAGAAAGAAGAATCGATTTTTGAAAGTTGTGAATCAATTCCGAATTGTAGAAGATAAGAATTGTGATTTTTATGTGAATGTTTAAGCTGGCAGTACATTTGAA